ATTATGCTTCGCTATCTTTTGAATTTTTGTTGAATATAAATTTTATGTGAAAGATTTGGCTATATTTTCATAACATTATTCAATGGAGCCCAGGTAAACCTGGCATTATCGCCATTGAATTACATAGAGGTCGCTTTTGTCCCACCTGCTATGCAGGTTTCATAATTCTCTGGGTCCCTTTTGCCCCTGGGGTCCCTTTTGCCCCACTTATCATACAGTTCTGATATGGGAACCTTTTTGTCCCAACTGCAATGATAAGACATACATTATTCATAGCCAAATTTAACATTAATTTAGTATTCAACATTTTTTCATAATTCATATTATATCAGTCTTCATTTGGGGTTCTATCTTTTGATTTTATTAAAGTAGCCTTGATCCAAACATCATATAGTATGGTGCACTGGTTCCGTCTGTCTCAATTGTATTTGCTACTTGAATGCTTTTATTTCTCTACTTGGTTCAATCTTATCTATGATCTGATGCTGTGCACTCTTTCATCCTCTAGTTTTTTATTAGTTTTCATTAGCTTCAGCCTTGTTGACCTTCCATTATGGATTCTTGTATTGTGGTCTGTCGTAGCTCTAATTAGTGTCAATAGTCGTGTTCCTTTGCTGTTTGCTATCCTAGTTTGCTCTCTATTTGAAGTTGCCACAACAAATCATCCATACACATTAAGCCTATTGCTGCTACTAAGACTCCTCGTGTATGTGCTCCTCATTCTTTTTTTATGTAGTTAGTTGGGAGAATGCTTCTGGTTTTCCACCTCCTTTTTCCTCTTGTTTTCCTTTATTTTTCAACAAGGATCAAATTCATCTCAGCACAAGCTGCCCTCTTTAGTGGTAAAGTTGCACTTTTTTTTTGAAGTTGAGATTTTAAAATTAGTCGCTCTATTTGCTTTTTCTATTATTGGAGTTTTCTTGGGGTCATCCAAATCTTGAGATTATTTGTAACATGTTTGAATTATATTTGATAGGTGATTTATGTAGTTGGGCTATTCAACCCATACTAATTTCTTGACACATTATTTTCAAGAAGCTTATTATTCAAGACTCTTCTCATGAAGATCCTGCTAAGTGAATGGTTTTCCAATATAGATTCTTAAGTTGTCTCTTCATTTGGATTCCTCTAAGGAACCTCCTATAACATTGGTTGTGTATTTCTTGTCATTATGTCCACTACTTAAACTAATTCACTTTATATTCTCTTGGCTCTATTTTTGACAAAGCCTTTGAAGTGGATGCTACTATTGCTAGGCTCTCTAGGTAGTCTATGGCTAGGGTCATGATTAAAAGAGATGGTATTATTCCTTTTGAAAGGTGATTTGGATTGGTACCCACTCTAATAGTTATTGCCAAATTTTTGAATTTGAGGACATTCCATTCTTTTGTATCTCCTCTAAAATTACAGTTACAGTTATTTTGATTGGTACAAAATAACTGTAACCGTAATTTTAGAGGAGATACCCACCCAACAAACTTATCGATATAATTCTCAGGCTCCATTTCAACCCCCTTTTCGTCGAGCATGACGCGTAATAAAGATGGACAATCTAGTCAGATTCATTTCCCACAAACACCTATCCTGACTTCATTAAGTAGAATCAGTGAGTGAAAATTAGTCTAACTAAATTATCATAAAAATGTATGGCATTCCTTAAGATATTCATCATATTCATTGATATAAAAGCGTGCATAATTTAAACTATAAATGATAACTTTTAGAGTAATTTGATTTTTAAATTTGTAAATTTTTTATAGAAAATCTATGCACTGGAAGTTTTTAATTCATCACATAATGTATATTTTTTATGTCACATCTCATAATTATACATCCACCTATAATACTGGAGTACATGATAACTGGATTACCTTTTTATGGTTGTATTTGCTTCTATCTCTATCTTTAAATATAATGATCATAATATTTGATGAGTTAAATGCTCCACAAGTTAAACAATTCTAATATAAGGTTTAAAAATATAAAAAAGTAATAATAGACATGCTGGTCTTTTATCCTAACATGAGTATTTCTGATTATAAACACCATTACCTTAATACAATGATAACTTTTAGAGCAATTTGATTTTTAAATTTATATAAATAAAAGATAGAGTTTTAAGTAAATAGCATGAATATATTTAAGAACATGAAATGCACAGTTAAATTTTAATCACTAAATGCACTCATCAATTTACTTGGATCACTTTCATTTTCATTTTACATTATTACTCATTACTTCTTTAAAAATGTCATATAATGTTTATAGGCTTTTGACATATTTATATCATTGGTAGCCACGTTTCCCGTCGTCACCCCTAATTATCACTAATAAAGTTTGGACAATACAAAATAGCAATTGTCAATGGTCCATCATCCTTAAGATTGAACCTTCTAATAGCAATTAGGATTGAGAGTCGGAATTTTTTTTTTTTAGAGATGCTCATATCGTCAAAACTTTTGCCTCCCCTTGCACAGTTCATCATATTCTGCCAACCAATCTCACTTGACATGATCTTTCATTGATTTTTTTTTTCAATTTAATATTATCATATTAATATTTAAAATTGCATTGTGTAGGATTAATATTCATCCATTATCACTTAGTTTATTCAATATGCATCAAAGATTTGACTTGATACGTGAAATTTAATATTTATGCACTTTAGTAAATAATTTAAATATTCTTAGTTAAAAATATCTTGAATTTCTTTATGTAGGTGATTCCATAAAAAAATTCATTAGACTTGTCAAAATCATGTTTTGCTTAATATGAAGAAATAACAACTTATAATTCAATAAAATTATAGAATTTGACAATTATAAATTTCAAAGAATTATTTGCTCATGATATTAGAGATTTATTATCTCACTTAAATTATAAGATGTTCTTCAGGATGAATTGATTTTCATCACCTAGAAGTCCTGTTCTTATCTAAATGACATAATAATAATAATTTTATTAAATTATGATAAATTCCTAATTTGCCTAATCAAAACTAAATCAATTAACTACAAATAATATTTTTTAACCTTAATTTGATTTCTTCTCATTCATGCCTTTAATCATGTAATTCATATCCAAACTCAATTTGTGGGAGAAGATGAGGATTCTTAGCAGTAGTCTTGAATCCTCCTCTTCCCCTTTTTCTTCCTCTCCGTTTTCCTCTACTTCTTCCCTTTCTCTTCTTCTCTTCTCTTCTCTTCCACTTCTTCCTCATCTCTATTTTTTTTACTTCTCTATTTCCTCTACCGAGCTCCCTCCCCCCTTCATTTATTTATTTTTTTCATCTTCTCTTCTTCCTCTTCTTCTTCTTCTCTTCTTTTTCTTCTTCTCTTCTCCTCTTTTCTTCTTCCTTCCTCTCCTTTCTTCTCTTGTCCTCCCCCACCCTCCATTTTTTCTTTTCTGTTTCCTGTTCCGAGAGCTCTCCCAGCTTTTTTATTCTGCCTCTAAGTGGTTGTTAAGAAGGGATAAGGATTGTAACGGATAAGAAAGAGCATGCTTAGGGTAATTATTATTATAGCTTAGGCCTTAGGTTATATAGATAAGTATTAAGCATGTAATTTAATTTAATACTATCCACACGTCTGCCAATACTAGCTGCTGGAATTTGGAAAAAAAATGGATTAATGCAGTAGATTAGCTGTCGGAACAGTAAAATTAGATTTAAAATTTTAGGAAATTTAATTAATTAATGAAATTACATATCTTAATACAGGTTTGTTTTTTTTATATACACATCTATTTATTAAAATGTTCGAAATTGAATGAAGAATTTTATAAAATTAGTTTCAAAAACTTTTGGTACATGCGAAAAGTGGGTTATAATGTTTAAGAGAAATTTTCATGTAACCTTTCTGAAAAATTTGAGTGTTACAGCAATTCCCCCAACATAAGATCCAGATCGTACTCAAGCTATGAAAGCTACCATAGTTATTGTGGCTGATTACATCTTAATGAAGTATCACATTTGCGGGATGAATTTCCTCAAATATCAATAATGATCTAGATTCATCGGTTGTGACAACCCATGCTCCTCATGATCTTCTAGTCGTAGGGATGTTAGCAACCTAAGATCTGATTATACATATGCTTATTATAGAAGTCTCCCAGGAATCGAAAAACAAGTGGGTAAAATGTTTAAAACATGTTTGCTTGGAGAGGCAATAATAAGAAAAGTACTCTTCGTTCACCAATGTTTACTAGACTCCAAGCAACATGTAATAATTTTCTCAATGACTTGGGTATTATTGTCTCTTGAGGTGTATGGAGCTAATCATAAACTTTTGTATTAATAATTTCTTCCTTTCTATCATGTTCTCTTTCTTGTATTTTGGCTAATACTTTGTGTTTTGACTTTTCTTTATAATCTCTTCATGCTATAATTATTTTAGCGACTTGTTATAAATTTTCCTGTTTCATAAAAACCCAAGATCCAAATATCTTTTGTTTCATAGACCTTGGTTTAAATGTGCATAGCCTTGTGATGCTTTTTTTTTTTTAGGTCACCAAATATAAATCATTTCATTAAGGTGCATGTGTGTATTGTATTCATATTTTAGTTGTTTTTGCATTAATATTAAGGTTATGTGAGGCAGATTGCTAAATAAAAGTAAACATAACGGTTTAAGTTATTTTAGCTATATGTTTTCTTCAATTATATTGATAGTTTCTACAATCATGATTGAATGAAAAATAAGTCCCTGCTGCTCGAGGGCTCTAGTGGTGGTTAACACTTGGAACTTGTAAACTGGACGTGGGGAATGTGGGAGATTTTTGTGGTCACCTGGCCCTTTGCTGGTTGTCATTGGAGCCTTTAATTATTAGGACATATTATCAATGCTCTAGTACTTATAATTGTTTGATAAGCTATATCTTTTTCTCCTTTTCTTTAAGGAAGGATATTGCTAGTTCCTGCTCAGCGAAAATATTAACTCACACATTTGATTGTTTGATTTGTTTTGATTTTTTGATTCATTTTATGATTTGTTACCTTCCAGGGAAGGATAAGTCCACTTTTTATTGGCATGGAAGGGATATTGCGACTACTAGGGAGCTAAACCCCAAGGTCTTCTCTAAATGGCCAATATTTATGTTTTGTATTTATGTCTGTAATTAGCCTGTTTTTGTCGGTGTTGATCTTTATATTGTCCACTAGACTTTGTCATCTGGTCTGGATGACTACCCTCGTGCATCCCACCCAAGTGAGGATGAGCGCCACTTAGATCTAAGGTGCTGGATGCTCCTTGCCGCAGATTGTTTACATTCAATTTCAGAGATCATTGGAATGCAAAATACATCTGCAAGGGTAAATTATATTTTTAAGTAAGATTAACAGATATTTCAGTTGTCTAAATTATTGTAATTTTTAGTTTTACCAACTTGCCTTTGCACTGAAAATTTGCAGGGTTCTTTTCTAACTCCTAAACAACTTAGAAATTTTGAAGTCCTTAATCAGGTATGCTTAAGAAATCTGTTCGACATGCTTTAGTTTTCTACTGTTATGCCTCCATATTTTACACTTTTGGTCTATTATAAAGTAACTCCCATATCCATTAAATGGTATACTCACTTTCTCTCTTTTAAAGCTTAATGTGTTAACTAGATAATGATAGTAGGACTACAATAAAGACAATTACAAAGAATTGCTAAATAAAAAGGGAAAATATAGCATCGCAAAAAAAAGATACAAATTGATCATCTAGTTTGAAGCCTAGTGATCTAAATTGAGCATATGTTTTCTTTTGATTTTTGCCTTTCTAGTATAAAGAACATGAAATCTCTTATCCTAGAGAGAATAAACACTCTGAATGCTCCAATCAAAATCAGAAACTTGCTGAGATAAATTTTCATCGTTGTGTTCACAAGTAGGACAAGATTGAGATGTTTCAAGAACATGATGAATATTCTCGGTGATAATATCAGTAGGTGATGAAGTGAGAAACAACAAAAGATATTAGGTGCACAAACATTAGCCATTTTCTCTGGAAGAGAATCGAAAACTGGCTCCAAGTTTTGAGAATAAACTTGAACTGAAGAGGGAGGAATTTCTTCCAAAGAGGTAGGAGGATTATTGTGAGCATCAGATGGAATGTCTTGCATTTGAAATTTAAGATTCCTCAACTAAGGATGAGCCATAAAGCATTCAGAAAATTTATGTTAAAAAAATATAGCAAGAGTAACAATATAGAGGGATGTTTTCAAATTCCATCTTCAACTAGTATTCTGATAACAAGAACCCAAACCACACATCCTTATAAAAAGGGCAGTAATATCTAGTTTCAGTAAGACTCTGACTATAGAAGGCCTAGCAAACGGGCTGTCACAACATCCAGTTGTAAAGGCTTCTCAAGGATAGAAGCCAAGGAGAATAAGGTAGATTGGTGAACTAGTACAGCTACAATCGAGGAAAAAAGATCTAAAGAGGAGTGACAGTGGGTTACATAGAGTAATCCAAATTGGGGGACCATTTTACATCGAGAGGCCACTAATATAATAGCAACACAGAACACTCAGAAGAGTCTAATTTAATTTGCTTCTAAAGAAAGTCTTATGATTAGTGTATAGGCACCTAATGATGTATTCACCCTTCAGTTGTTAATTGGAAAAGAACTTGTGAATTGCTTTCAAGTAGAATTTGCCTCTAAGTGAGGAGGAGAGGCCTAGCAAGCATAGAAACCTCCTCATTGGTAAAGAGGAAAGCATGCCTGCCTTCAAAAGAGGAAGTTTTTTTTATTTTTTTATTTTTTATGTTTTAGAGTCAGTCAATTATGTTGAAATAAAGTGAAGGGTTGTTGGAGGGAGAGTAGTGTATGGATGCAACGTTCAAACCACGAATATCATTTGCAAAGGTGTGCAGTGGTTGTGGAGAAGAAGGTGCAACCATCAAAGCTGGTACGAGAGTAGGAGTCTTGTGAGAGAGTGGAACCACCACTTGAGAAGGAAGTGACAAATTCACTGTTTATCCAATCATCCTCCCCATAGTGGGTCCTGAAATATACAATAATTAGTAAAAAATGTCACATTACAGTTGTGGTCTTTGTTGAGTTTATGGATGGATAAAAGATTTGCTGCTATGTTAAGAACATGTAGGATATTGCTGAGAAGGAATGAATGAGAAATAGAAATATTCCCATGACCTATAATAGTTGTTTGGGAGTGATCAACTACTTATATATTTTTTTATTACAGGGATATAGTTTGTAGGTTTAAAAAATGTTAATAAGATTTGTCATGTGACTGGTGGCTCTTGAATCTTTTATCCAGATTTTAGGGAACTATTTGCGGCATTAAAAGTATAAGAGTTAGAATTTGTGCTACTTTGAGCTGGAGAGCATGAACTGAAAGATTTTGTTTGAGATAATTGAGGAGGTTTCATAGATTGTCAATTTCGTTTGAGTTGAGCCCTTTTAGTCAACGAGATAAGCTTGTCCTTTTGATTGGCCTTCCTTGTTTCTACCATGGCCTTGGGGTTTATCGTAGAGTTTCCAACATTTCTCTTTGATGTATAATTTTTTTAATTACATGTGTTGATTTAAAAAAAATGTTTTTATTCTACTTTTTGAGAAGATTTAAGGGCAACAAGTACCTTACCTTGGGTTTTATGTGATTGTTATAGCGCCTTTAATAGTTGAGACTGTATGGCATTATCATCCTTCTTTTGTTCATATGAGTGAGAAGACCCTCATTTAGTTGTGGTAATTTTTCTCTACTTAAGATGTGATTACAAATTTGGTCGAATTGATTATTGTGTCTTGTAAGAAAACTCAAATGTCCCTTCTTTTTCTACAATTTGTTTTAGAATCATGGCATCGTCACGTCCCTTTATCTCGAGGTCTTAGTAGTAATCTAGTACTAGCCAATAGTCATTCATTGAATTGAAATATTCAATGATATAGAGGTTACCTTGCTTGGTTGTTGTGAGCTTCTTCTTGATCTCATAGATGAATGCGACATCTTTAACTTTTGAGTAAGTTTGATTAGTGGCTTCCCATTTACGGGTGTTAGGAACATGTATGATCTTTTAATTTTAGGCATTGTGGTGTTATATAATTGTGATATGATTAGAAAAACTACTTCATCTCAAAGTTTAAACTTTGGATCTTTCAGATTGTTAGGAAACACTTGAAGATCTCAAGTGAAACCGAACGATATTGACAAAAACAACGAGAACGATTAATCAATCCAAAGGAAAAATCGGAAAAATGATAGTTTTAATCTGATAATCAAACTAACGCAAGAAAAATAACAAGATACAATTGATCCTCTATTCGAGAGGAGGATCTATCTCTCCCAAATCTCTAGATTCCGCTAGAGCCCAAAAAACCTAAGAGATCTCAAATTTCAGCTAAATTTAAGATGCCCTAATTTTAGGAAAACAAACTATTTAATGCATACAATCCAAAAGGAAATCTCTAAACAGTCCCTACATTCAAATTTTCCTCCTAAACTTTAACTAAAACCTTCCTAATCTGCTCATTTGGAAAGGGAGGCTTGTGCAGCTCGTGTATGAGGCATAACATCTGCCTCTATTTTGCAAGAGGCGGTCCCATGTTGACCGGCTAGACCGGTCTAACAATACTACCCTTCCAAAGATCCACCTTGTCCGCAAGGTAGAAAGACAACACTTTCTTCCATTCCCTCGTCATTATAAATGGTAAAAACCTAAAGAGTTCAGTTCTTACACCTATGCCCTGGAGTATACGTCTTGTCACATCTGAAACAAAGCCCCTTCGCCCTTTTTCTCATGTAATTCTGTTTCTATGAGCTTCTTGATATTGTCCCCATGTCTTCCTCATATAGTCTTTTCCTTTGAAGTCCCTCGAAGAGTATCCAGTGTTGACTACTTGGATGCCAATGAGGTGGTGGTCATCCTGTACGAGTTTACTGAGCTGCTTCCTCCCATTTCTCTCTCTAGGTGCCTCTGATCCTCCACCAAATGAGCTAGCTCATAGTCTCTCCCAAGTCACAAGGCCTCGTCACTCTGACAGCTGCCCGGATCTCTGGCTTCAGTCCTTTCATGATGTTCTCCTCTAGCACGATCTCAGAAAGACGGTCCAATCGACTAGCAAGGTACTTGAACCTCTATTGGTACTCTATTACTAAATTAGCTTGTGTCAAGGCGAAGAAATGCTCGTTCAAGACTCCTCCCCTGTTGGTTTAGAATCGTTCTAAAAGGAAATCCTTGAACTCCCTCCAACTTCTCATGGGTCGCTGCATGTCTCTCCAATGGTATCAAGTCAAAGCCTTCTCTTCTAAACATAGGTCCGTTGCCGTTAGTCTCCCCTCATCCGTTAACCTATTGACAGTAAAGTACCTTTCCACTCTATAAATCCACACATGTGGATCCTTTCCCTACAAAAAGGCATATTTAGTTTCCTCGCTATCAGATCTCCTACCAACCCTGCTTCCTCTAAAATTTCCCTTCCCTCAAGGGGATGGTTCCCCCCAATTGTGCCAATCATCATTCTTCTGCTCGCACCCAAACCTTTCATCACAAGCCCACATTCTCCCCTCAAATTTAGCATCCCTTCGATCATATTCAATCCTTCTCCTTTTAAATTTGACACCTCTTCGATCATAATCAAGTCCTTGCCTTTCAAATGCAGCTCCTCTTCTTTTAAATTCAACATCCCTCCACTCATGCCCAACCCCCTCACACCTCTCCACGTAATCTCTACTAGACTCCTCTCTAGGAATAGGCCCTAAGGGAGGCTCTGTTTCTATTCATTCTGTAATCTCCACATCCTTGACTTAGGGTTTTCTCCACTTCCTTGGCTGTTGGTTACTTCCATCACCTCCGACAATATTGTTTTGGTTTAGCCCTCGAGCACTTTCTTTAACATTTCCCTAGGATGAAAAATTTTGAATCAATCTTATCATGGATGACTGAAATTTCTTTCTTTAAATCTAAAACTTGAGTTTGTAAATCTGAAATTTTATATTTTATTTGTCTGATCCCTCATTAGAGGCGTTCCTCCAACGCATCTACTTTCTTGGCCGCCATCGATACCCGAATATTTGTTGTACTAAAAATCTGAATCTCGATTCCCAAAAACATCAAAATAGCCCCCTTCCGGCTAATAATTAGTGTCTGATTTTCTTAGAAAAATCCCCCAAAACAGTCCCAAAATCTGCTATGATACCAATTTGTTAGGAAACACTTGAAGATCTCAAGTGAAAATTAACGATCTTGACAAAAACAATGAGAACGATCAATCAATCCAAAGGAAAAACTGGATAAATGATAGTTTTTATTGAAATAATCAAACTAACGGAAGGAAAATAACAAGTTACAATTGATCCTCTATTCGAGAGGAGGATTTATCTCTCCTAAATCTCTAGATGCCGCTAGAGCCCAAAAAACCTAAGAGATCTCAAATTTCAGCAAATTTCAAGATGTCCTAATCCTAGGGAAATAAACTATTTAATGCATACAATCCAAAAGAAATTCTCTAA